CCACTTTTCGTCTGTTCGACGCTATCTACTGACAAATGATTGGCTCTTAGATCTTCTGAAAAGCATTTATGCGAAGAGATTTGAAAATATATTGTGAATATTAGAAATAATAGCTTTATTTTTCTTATTATTTTTATTTTGTTGGTGGTTAGGGAGGGCATCTAATAAATTTTTTTTATAATATACACTGGGCATCATGAAGTCTCTGTATGCCCCTGCACTTAAATCATATAAAATTTTATTATTAACTTCAATAAAGTGAGGCAAAGCACCTGATTTAGTTTTAACTTTACCATTTCTCTTAAAACTTGCCAAGTTTTGAATTTTTTTTGTTTTTTTCAAGTATGTTAAGAGAATTTTTTTATTTTTATTTCTCCTTGTCATTTGAATTCTCTATCATAATTTATGTAAATAGTTTTACTTACAATTGATTTCAGTTTCAGGTGGATAATATAAATTTTTTGTTTAGTTTTGGAAGATTTCCATGGGGATGTTGTTTTTTTAATTTTTGCTTTATTTCAATTCTTAGAAAATTTGCGTCCTGACAATGATTAATATGTTGCCAATGAAGGATTGGTAATTGGTCATTAGATAATGCTAAATTTGTTTTGTTTTTTTTTTTTGTTTTTTTTGGGAAATTTATTTGCCTTCAATGAAAAAAAAAAAAACAATTACAGAATAGCTTTATTACAAATATAATTGGCAGGATTTCCAGAAGATCATACAATCTTATCATGAAGCCCTTTACAATATCAAATATAATAATAATAACAATAAAATCAAATTAAGCAATAAAAATCAACATAAACTATATATAACTGTGCATTTAAAATATAAATATACTGGATAAATTATATGAAATATGTGAAGCAAAAAAACTAAAAATAAGAAAAAATATTTTCTGCTGAAAAGATAACTTCTTTTAATTTTCGTTTGAAAGAAGTTAAATTCAATTTCAAATACAAATCAAAATTTTGCAGAACTATTTTATTCTATATAAGGACCACGATAAGAAATAATTAATTGTTCAAGTTTAGTTTGGCAGAAAGGTTCTAGTAGATTTTTTCCATTGCGAAGATTGTATATGTTTATGAATCTTACATTATAAAAGTTTATAAATACATTAGGAGATAAATGATTTTTACATTTAAACATGAAACATAAAATATTATAAACATTTAGTTCGCAAAAAAAAAAAAAAAAAAAAAAAAAGTCCTTGTTTTCCAAAATTTGCCGACTGTCATGACGACATTTGCCGACTGTCTAACCTATATCGAAAGGGTCAACATTTGTCGACTAACTAGTCTAAAAGGGTCCAATTTGCCGACTAAGGGTCCTGTTTGCCGACTAAAAATCTTTGATGGGGAGGGGTCACACACACCCACCCCCTACACACACCCCTATCGCGCCGGCCTTGATAACAACCCTTTATTAAAATGTCTTTCTGCGATTGACCTCAAGATCACAAAAAAGAAACTTCCAACTTACTTTCCTACTATAAATATAAATGAATTAGTATTTAATCAAGAAGTTTTGCATCTTCAGACAGATATAGTGCTTCCACCCATATTTACTAATGGAAAGCCTGTGCATCTTAACTATTGGTGGGCAGAAGATTTTAAGTGTAAAGAAATTATTTGAGATTAGTAAAATTATCAAGGCATGCCTAAGTATATTTAGTAGTCTTCATGAGAAGCAATCATTCAGCATGATGAACACCATAGCTAACAAAAAGACAAATCGTCTTGATACTTCAACATACTCTAAACATTTCCAAAATGTCATGCCTAGTGTTTTAAAGAACTGTTTGCAAGAAGTAACTCCTTTTAACTACTCCCGGTCAGGTTCAGGATCATCATGATCACCCTGCTACTGGTATCATGTAGCTTAGTACTACCAGTCCCATGCCATGCTGCCTTGTAGGGTGTGTTTTTTTAGGCAAAGGCTAGGAGAAACAAACTCTAACTTAAAAATCCCCTGCCCTGGGGCTCTTGGTTGAATTAAGGCTAGAGATGGTGTATTAATAAAATTACTTATCTTGGACAGATGTTAATTGCATCCAGCTACTGTCTTGTCAAAGGGCTCCTAGCCAAAGATTTTGGGTAAGCCAAATAATTCTGCTAACCAGCCTTGAACCCTCTTTTTATTTATTAAGCTGGCATAGATGTAAATCTGTGTTACATTGTTTCCTGCCTAGGATGATGAATGCTGAATCTTATTGACTCTTCTCATAGGTTTTTGTTTGTGCCTCCTTAGTAGTTGCTATACAACTCTTCCTGTTATCTCCTAATGACGGTACTGCTCTAAAACTCAGTTTAATGGTTCTGAGGCCCGCTAGTAGTAAGATTCCTTCAACAGTTGCATAGTATTAAAGTATTAACAGTGCCATGTTGTGTATGGATGCTGTAGCTGTTAATACTTTTGGTGCATATTGTCGAGACCACATAAGGAACCCTATGTTACGACTAAAGGTTAATTAACAGGACTGAGAAGATTGTATAGCACATTGTTTAGGAGACTGTGCTCTATGGATGAACGAGTCAAATTCTTTTTAAACTTAAATCATGCCAAAAGTAGCCCAAAATTTTAAATATAAAAAACCATCTTCACCACCTAACTGTTTTAATATATATTTTATAAATATTTGTGGTCTGCAAAGCAGCTTTCCATCAGTTAAATCATACCTCTTGCAAAATTTACCAGATTTGCTTGCTCTTAAAGAGACTAATTTAAATTCTGCTATTCCTTCTTCAGATCATAGTGTTGATGGGTGTTATCCTTTGATTCGTAAAGACACCAATAGTCACAAGGTTGGCTAGGGGTATACATATACATCAAATCACCTATTTGTTGTGAAATCAGGTTCGAATCCTTTGGCCATTCTTTTATATAATTTCACTTAGCACCTCTTAACTCTATCACCTTTCTCTTTTTTCTTTATTCTCCATTTTTCCAAGACTGCACTATTTGATCAGATGTAACTTCTGATCAAATTGGCCATGCCCTCTTTCTTTAACCCTCTGCCAATATTGTTGTTAAAGGTGACCTTAATGCTGATCACACTGAATGGCTTGGCTCTAATGCCATTGACCCTGCTAGCAATAAAGCCTATAACTTTTGCATTTCTCAATCTCTTACTCAGAAAAAAAAACTTAGTAGCTTGTTTTCCTGACATTCTTAATCATTAATGCGGATCCTTTGTAACCTCCTGGATTCAGGCAGGAATGAAAGCTTTTATTCCTTCTTGTCTGTTCTAAGTCAGGCCTCATTTTACTAATGTTTTTCACCTTCTTGTGCAGCTGCTATATCAAATTGTAATCATTTTTTTCATCATTTTCAAAATAAATCTCTTGAGAACAAATAGCTATTTACTATTGCAAGAAATCAATGTAAAAAGGTGCTGTCTGATGCTAAGTTCCATTATTCTTAGTTTTCTAAATCTTGTATCTAAATTCAGAAGTTAGGCTCTAGAAACTTTTGGAAAACTTTCAACAATGGCAATGGCAATGGCAAAAAGGCAAGTTTAACATTCCATCTCTCATTTATATGACTGATCTTATTACCTCTATAAGTATAAGACTAAACTATTTGCGAGAAACTTTTCTTCAAATTCGACTCTTGAATCTTATGGCCATTCTCTTTCTTCCATTCCAATTAAACAGGTTAACCTATTGATAGACATTCAAATCACTTCAGCTTTAGTTGCTACAGTCATATCTCAATTTTACTCTTTCACGGCTATGCCATAAAAGAGTTTAATTGAGACAATTAAATGTTGTCTTGTCTTACAGTTTTGTAAGACAGACAACATTTCTGTCTTACAAAACTGTTCTCCAAACTTGCTATAATTCTCTCTGAACTATTTAATAAGTGCTTGAATGAGTCTTGTTTTACTGCCTACTTAAAAATCGCATCTGTTGTTTCAATTTTTAACAACTCCAGTGAACATTCTGACCCTAGTTGTCTATCCAATTGGTATCTGGGAAAGTTTTTGAGATTATCAAATTGTTTCTTTCTAACCGCAAGAAACAAGTTGAGCACAGTACTACTAGGAACTTAGTGGGGATCAAACTTGGTACTTTTCACTTATGCAGCTAGCTCTCTACCACTATATCATTACCACATTTAGGGTCGGCATTGGGTAATGTTTAACTAACGGCTAAAAGTGTTTTAGGTCAATGGTTTTCTGCCAACCTTTTATTATCTTATAGCAAAGCATTTGTGTTAAAAATTTTGTGCCAACCTAATGCAAGCCTTTGCAACTTCTTGTATTATTGTAATTTTTTTTTAACTGTTATATCCTATTTCAATATATATTTGATTTTGTTATAGCAGTCACGGTGAAGTGGTTAGAGTTCTGGCTTCAGACCTGTAGGTCCATGATTTAAAGCCAGCTCTGACCATAAATGCATCATATATATATATATATAAATATATATATATATATATATATATATATATATATATATATATATATATATATATATATATATATATATATATATATATATATATATATATATATATATATATATATATATATATATATAAAATATTACTCAGAGTTTTTTAAGTTAAAAGTTTTTTCTTCATTAAAAAGAATTTTTGTAGTTAACCATTGATTTATTCTCTTAACTCATTTTAATGTTTTAACTTGGCAGGTTTTTCACATTAAAAGAAACTAACAATGCTGTTTGGTTTTTTTCCTGGTTCCTTTTTTCTGTTTTTATGAATTGATACCTCAGTTTTATTATTAAATTCATTAAGTTCATGACTTTATATACTTCTTAGGTTCATTTCTAACAGCTATAATAAAGATATTTTTTAAAACAGTATTATGGATCTATTTAATGTAATACTTTTTTTCTCAAGAATTATTTTGTTATTATTGAGTAATGAGTTACTTGCTTTGTGTTTTCTAAATTAGTTTGTAATTTTAATTAGAGTTTATTTATATCAGTAATAAAGCATATAATAAATAATTTTCTTTTTCTTTTTAGGATGACACCAGGTTGGTTCAACATCAATATATTTATAACAAAGTGTCACATTCAATTTTAAAATAATTTAATTTATCTTAGTGAGACACTAACTCATCAGAACAAAACTAAAAAGAGAGTTAGCTTTTCTTCGATGAAAAGTGTCAGGTAAGAATATTTACTACATTAACAATTTTTATATATTATAAAAAAATAATAACAAAGGATTTGAAAATTAGTTTTGATAACCTTAATTTAAATATATGCTTACTCTTATTTTTATCTATTATTGTTTTAATTTATCAGTCAATGACTTTAACTTTTATTTGAACTCAATCTCAAAGCCAGTAGCAATAATATTTTCATTAATATGTGCATGTAGGTTTGTATATATTTCAACCATTTGATGTTATACTTAAATTTATATTATAAAGGTGTAGGAATTCAATTTATATTCACAATTGTTAAATTACAAAAAAGGTTTTTTGCATTAGAAGTCAATTTTCAGATTAAAATGTTTTTTTGTGTGCAGTCAGCTAGAAAAAAAAGACTGTAATCCAGTTACAGGTTAGGTTGGGAAGTATGTGTGATCGCACTCTATACCTGACCAAGCATAAAGTCGTTAGTTGTTTCAGCTTGAAATAAGTTGAATTTGGTTAAATTAGGCATTACCAGGGATAATCTTTTTCAGGATATTTCCAGGATTCTAGATATTTTTTTTAACTTTTAGTTTTTCCTGATATCCAAACTGTTTTCCATACAAGTTTAGGTATATATTTTTGTAATATAACATGTTACAACTAAAAATGCGAACAAACTTTGTAGCTTCAATTTATGTCTGACAGTTTTTATAATTTTATAATTCTACCAAATTTTATCCTCTACAATATACCATAGTCTTTTTTTTTCAGAACCTAATTCATTATGTCTAAAAGATTAAATAATCAAGAGGCACTCCATTAACGAGTGTACGCTTTTCTGGATTTGCATACAGAAGAGAAGAAAATGTTTATTGTTAATCATTTTTGCATGGAAAATGTCCCAAAATCAACCATGTACGATATAATGCAATGAAGTGAGATCAATATAAGACTAGGAAGAAAAGTTAAAAGTGATCGGAATGCAAAAAAAAATGCCTTAGAAACCAATAAGGGGTCGTCCATAAATTATGTCACACTTAGGGGGGTCTCGATTTTGTGACGCTTTATTTTTTTATTTTTTTTTTCAGAAGACTTACTTTTAATTAAAAGAGTCTGACTAAACTAAAACCCTCAGTTGATGTATCTACTTGTTGATTGTAAAATCAACTATGCCTAAATCTTACTTAGTCGATCTGCACACGCTGTATGTGCAGTGCACGTTCTGCGCTTTGAATTTATATGGCTCAAGTACAGCAACAAAAAAACAATCTTTGTGCACTAACTAAAAAAAAAGTAATCTCATACTGAGAAGTGAACCTGGAACCCTCGGTTTAGTAGCCACTTACAATGCTATTTGTTAGAAATGATTTTATTTATAAAATAATATTTTTTCATGTATAATATATTATTATTTATTATATATTATATATAATATTTTGCATGTAATATATATCAGAAAAATAGATTTTTAAAATTTGTATGTTTAGGATAGCGATGTTAATTTATACAATTTTACACGAAACTAATGGGGCAAAAAAAAATATTAAAGTTTAATGTTATTTGTTTAATAAACAAACATAAAAGTACTAATTAACTCAAAGAAGCTCAGAGAATTATAGACATTATTATATTTAAAATCGTTTTGTATTTTGTAAAATTTTTGCACACACCCCCCAATCCTCCTTAAAAAAAAGTTTAAGAGGGGGGAACAAAATTGTTGCATAATTTTGGGGAGGAATAATAAAGTATTAAAGATGCATTACGAGGGGGGGGGGGTGTCAAAAAATGTCAAAAACTGGAATTTGAAAATGAATAATCAAGAAATATTCATTTTCAAAGTTTTTCGGGATTTTAGGTTGTAACATGTTATTTGTTTTTTAAGTTTTTTCACTCATCACTCATATAAAAATTAAGAAAAGTTTGAAAAAAATTGATAAAATTTTAACTATAAGAAAAATTAGGAGGAAAATATAAACAATAATTCAAAAATTAGGAATTAAATATAATCCGGATATTTAACCCAAACAATTTTCTGGGTTGTTCAAATATGACCTGGATGATATATGCATTACAAATTGTGATATCTGAAAAAATATATTGATCTTCAAAATTTTAGTTAATGCAAAACCCTGTACTTTTTTTTCATGGGACAAGTTAACTTAAATTTATTGGTAGTTAACATTTTTCCAGACCAATACTTATAGTTTAACTGTTACACTGTTTAGGGTCTTCCACAAAGCATGTACGCAGGTAAAGTTTATTTGGGATTTAAGAAAAACAGCATTACTCATGATAAGTAACAGGGAAAGAAAATTATTTAATACATGATACAGGTTATTCTATAAATCATGCATGTAAAGGAATTGTTGAGCTGAAATACACAAATATAACATGTTAATTTACTTTTTTTGTCTTCTATGTCCACAGATGAGTATTTTATTTTATACAACTTGGTCACAACCGTTTGCAAGTTTTATTATATTAAGTGTTGCAAAAAAACAAAATTTCAAAAAAAAAAAAAAGCTAAAGTAACAAAATAAGAAATTAAATTGAATTTAAAAAGAAGAAGAAAAAAAATATATTAATTTAGATAATTTATGTACTGTTTTTATTTTTGTTTCTTTAGAGTGTTTCTGATTTTCAACAAAATCAAATAAGGCAAAGCAAAAAAAAAAAAAAACAGTTTCAAGTTGACATTAAAATAGAATGATTTTCCTATATTTTATTTAAAAAAAAAGAAAGAAAAGCGGAAATATAAATTGCTATCTGTTTGTAAAATATATTTGTGTAATTTTAATTTTACAAGTATGTAATGTACCTTAATGAATATGTCTAAGTGATGCATGCATATACTTTTATTTATAACTTTTTATATTATTTAGTTATTTATTTGTTCATAAGTATATGGGCGTTTAGCTTATTTGGATAAGGCATTTACTTCATACATGTAATGTCGGTGGTTCGAATCCCACCACTACTCATTTTTTTAATTTTTTTTTTTTTTTGAATATCAAGTTTGTTTTCTTAGGGATCATCCTTAAATTACATACCCTCTGATGGGGGAAAGGGGGTCTGCAAATGACGTATATGAGTTAGAGTACTCAAAAAAAATTTATAGTAAAATAATGCTTATGAGGTGGGGGGAAAAGCATACATGCTTTATGGACGACCCTTAATAAACTATCATTAATAGTAAGTCTTAAATTGTCAAGTAAAAAAAGCAAACATACGCACTTTATGGATGACCCTCATTAAACTATCATTAATAGTAAGTCTTAAATTGTCAGTTATGCTTAATTTTAAATATAAAATATTGAACTTTAGAATTTATTTGTTCTAAATATAATTTTTTTTGTTAAGGATTCTTTTCTTTTTTTTAGTTAATTTTTTTATGTAGTTGTCTCTCGTCAGTCAAGTTAAGCTTTTTTTTTTGCACATTTTTTAAAATGTTCTCCAAATATCTAAAAAGTAAGTTGTTGCTACTAAATATGATATTCCACGTCAGGAATGAAGTGTGATCATACTTGCTTCCTGGCCAAGTCTGCAGTTATATCAAAGAAGCCTCCAGATATTTGACAATAAACATAAATCTTTGAATGCTTTGAATGAAAACAAAGTTGGTGATCTTGTGCAAATTGAGGGCATTATAGATAAAAATATCACAACATTTTCCATAACATGCAGTTCTGTACGGAAAAAGAATTTTGGTTCACAGGTTTGTTTTTCAACTGGGTAACAATTCTAAACACATTTTTAAATTCTGCTGAAATTATATCGCGGTCAAAAAAAACACAAAAAGAACTAAAATAATGGCTCCCACAATTGGCTGATTTAAACCCAATCGAATTGTTGTGGGACAAGTTAGAGAGAAATATGAGAAATATGCAACTAACTAATCAAAAACACCTTTTAGTATTGATACAAACATGCTGGATTCAAATATCAAAAGAATCATTGCAGAAATTAATTTTAATGATGTACAGAGTATGTGATGCTGTTATAAAGGACAAAAGGACAATACTTTGAAGAATAGAAAATTAAAAAAAAGACTTTTTTTTGTCATCTTGTTTTGTTAAAAATTCTATGTTAACAATATGAATAATTAAGAATTATTTTAAAAATTTATGTTTTAAAAAATAAAAAAAATATATACTGATGATTTTCAAAATAATTTCAGATTTTGCTAAGATTATTTTTTTAGTAAAAAAGTGAATTAATGAGAATAATCTTTTTTTGTTATTTTTATTTGTGCATATTATATTTATTATGTGAACTCATTAGTGTGTGTATATATATATATATATATATATATATATATATATATATATATATATATATATATATATATATATATATATATATATATATATATATATATATATATATATATATATATGTGTTTATATATATGTTTATATATATATATATATATATATATATATATATATATATTTATCAATATTTATCAAGTGAACTCATTAGTGTATATATATATATATATATATATATATATATATATATATATATATATATATATATATATATATATATATATATATATATATATATATATTTATATATATAAAAGTTTTATTATTTATCAGCATTTATATATATCAGTTGCATTGAGCACAGTTTAGTTTGTACATTAAAGAACCAATAAAGTTTATCAGAATCTGTTCATCTTTTAAAATGACTTTTAAAATTTATATATAAACATCTATATTTATCTTTATTACAATTTGCTGCATTAAGCATTTTTTTTTCAATATAATAATTTTATTTGTATTAATTTCTGTATTGTTTGTATTGACTTTTGTATTCATTCAATTTATTTCTTTATTTTTTTTTACATAAGAATTGTTTGAAAAATGTTTTTGTTATATTTAGAACATTTGATACAGATCAATATACAAATGGTAAGTTTCATTTTCTTTAAATATTATATTAAATAACTATCAATTTAGGTTCAAATCCAAAATACCTTTTAGCATGTTGCCATATACTTTATTAAGTAAATGATTGTAAATTTTATGGAAACAAGATAATTTACTGAATAGTAGTAGTAACTTTGAACTGCCAAAAAAAAATTATTTTTAAAGGGAACCTGGACAGCCAAAAAAATTTATTTTCATAAGTATTTTACTGCTTTTGACTTTAATCTTTTTGAAGCATGAACTCCATAAGCTTACTTACTATTTATCTTGCAATAAGGAAAATATATTACCTTACCAGGTTATATACTTGGATTGATATATTTTCAAAGTTTTAATTTTATTTAAGAAAATCCAATGAAAATAAAGTTTTTTTTTAATAATGTGTTCTTTTATATCTAGATGCTGATCAATCTCCTATCAATTGGTAAGAACTTTTTTTTTAGTTTGTGTGTACCAAATAAGTGTAAACCATCAGGGTCTAACAAGATATTTCTAAACTATTGATTTTGAGTTGAATAAAGAAAATTAAGTTTATGCATATCTGAAAGGAGTGTTAATGATTATAAACAACTCAGGTAATTCAGTAATTAATAGTTGCCAATTTTTTTCTAAATATAATTTAAAGTTTATTTAATTTTATAATAATAATATGAAAATTTATAATTAAATAAACTTCTATATTTATGAAAAATAAAAATATAAAGAAGGGAAAAAAAAGTTTAAAGTTTTGAATTAAATTTAAAAAATTAACATGTTTTTAATTAATAATACTTAACTTAATACTGTTAGTGTCCGCTTATGCGTTTTGACATGGAGCTTAAGACATTAAATTCAAGGTAATAGCAATAAAGAGTCTCTCAGCACCTTTTTATAAGAAAGTATAAGAAATTTATATACGATTGTATATGTAATAACAATATGTCAAAAACACAAATGTAAAATATTCCATTTGTATAGCCTTATGTAAAAAGGTCTATAAATGTAAAAATCTTTAGCATAAGTTGTGTTTGCTGGTAGTATATGGAACAATTGTGTGTAATATATGTATGATATAAAAAAAAATTTAAAAAAAAAAATTTTTTTAACAATTATAAATCTTTTTTGCTATATACATTTAAAATAGCTGCAAGATTAAAAATTTATTTGAACATAACATGAAGTAATTGAATTACTGAAATTATTTGAACATAACATGAAGTAATTGAATTACTGAAATTATTTGATGATCAGTTAAAGTAATTGTAAGACATAAAATTATACTAAATAGAAAAATGAAAACAATTGTTTTGAAAAACATCAATAAAATTTTTTTTTAATGTTTTATAATAAAAAATAAAAAAGAATATGATAAAAGATAAAAAACAAAAAAAAATCTTTTGGTTTCTTACAAAAAAAATAGCAGTCAACCTAGTTTATGGAATTAAAAATACATTTCAATCAAACACAAATAGAAATACTTTACAAAAGTTCTTAATTAGGTACAACATAAATAAAATATGACAATATTATTATCAAATAAAAATGCAATGCGCATTTGACATCAACCCTGATTTTAAGTAAAGTTCAATTTTAATATTGCTATTATTGTATGTAATATTTATTTTTGCTATCTTGATAACCTGTTTCTTCAATAAATGCTAATGTTTATTTAAATGAGTGCTTTATTTTATGAGATTCATATGCAAGGAATACTTAAATTGTATCTATCACAAAACTATGTTTATTTGGTTGTGCCCCTGTGACCATTAGCCTCCAATTTTGAGTCCTTATTATTGTTTACAGTTGTTTGAATAAATATATTGTCTTTTTTTTATTATCCTTGTAAATCTTTTGGATATTTACAAACTAATTTCTCTATAGATCAATTCTAATACAATATTTTGGTAAATCTTTTCAGATATATATCAATATACCATATTCGAATGAGAAAATCATTATCTTTAATTGCACTTTGTCTCAAACTTGCTTGATTTTTAAAAGAAATGCTATCATATTATCAATAGATTATTATGTCTTATTTTTAGTTTACTTTTTTTAATTAATATTTAATTTAAACAGAGGTTACAATATGGTTATAGAAAATTAGTTAACATGAATATTGTGACATAAGGTTTTTAATATTTTTATTATATATTTTTTTATTTATTTATTAATGGCATTAATTTAATACTTTTTTTTTTAGTGAGGTGCTTCCTGAGAACCGTGAGTTTTTAAAATTGAATTAGTTTAAATTATCTTAATATATATATATATATATATATATATATATATATATATATATATATATATATATATATATATATATATATATATATATATATATATACAGTAGCGTTTAAAAGTTTGCGGACAGGCAAAAAAATAAGGAATTTTAATTATATTTCAGCACATACTTTACTAAAGCCAACATATTATATACCAATTAAAAGGTTTTCAAATTTACAATTAGGTTTTGATAAGCTTTGTCCGCAAATTTTTGAACTTGTCTTTGATAAGTTCAAAAATTTGCGGACAAAGCATTATTTGTTAAAATAGTTAAAATATTTCAACAATATTTGATCAAAATTTTTGCAAAAGCAAAATCACATTAGTATTTTGTAGGATATCCTTTACAATCAAGAATAGCTTGGCATCTATGAGGCATAGAGTCAACTAAATTAATGCAAGCGTCAATGGGAATTAAGTCCCATAATTCTTTGATTTTATTAAATAAATCAGCATAATTTGTAGGCTTAATTCCTTTCATTTGACAGTCAACATGTTCCCATAGATGTTCAATGGGATTTAAGTCAGGTGATTAGTATGGCCACTTCAAAACATTAACTTTACTCTCTTTAAAAAACTCTAAAACCGATTTAGCTGTATGTTTGGGATTGTTATCCTGTTGGTAAATCCATCCTCGAGGCATTTTATCCTTTGCATATGGTAACATAATAGTCTTACATATATCTTTGTACTTTTCTTGATTCATATTCTCGATAATTCTATGGAGAGGACTAACTCCATTTCAGCTAAAACATCCCCAAACCATTACATTACCTCCTCCATGTTTTACGGTAGGCAGTTGGTATTTAGGATTGTACCTAGTACCTACTGGACGTACATACCTGATTCCATTGGATCCAAACAGCATAAATTTGCTTTCGTCACTAAAAAGAATTTTTGACCATTTTTGACTACTCCACTTTAGATGTTTTGATGCAAATTCCATTCGGGCGTTACAGTTTTTCAAGGAAACTAATAGTTTTTTAGCTGGGCGTCTTCCAAACAAATTAGCGTGACGTAAACGACGTTTTATAGTAGAAATACTACAATTCATTCCATAGAAACGTCTCATTTGTACGTTTAAATCGACAGCTGTCAAACGGGGATTTTCTTTGCTTAGTATTACAAGCTTTTTATCCTGATAACGCGTTGTTTTGCGTGGCCTTCCTGATTGATTTTTATTCTTTGTAGATCTAGTAAGCTCAAATCTTTTCATAATTTGTCCAACAGCAGACTTACCAACTCCATAAAGCTGTGCTGTTTTACGATACGAGTTTCCATTCTGAACTGATCTCAAGGTCAATTTTTTTACTGGAGATGAAATACATTTTTTAGATCCCATGATCTCAATCATTTATATATAAAGTTTTGAAATTATTTCCACAAAGTATTTGTTTATAAAATCAACAAATTAGCTATTTTGTGGTGAAAATGTTAAAAGCGTTAGTTTGTCTGCAAACTTTTGAACTTATCAAAAATCGCCATTTTGTTAACCAATTTTAAAATGATAATTAAATATTCATTATTTGCTCAAAACATAATTGTTAACTTGGAAACCTTTTAATTGGTATATAATATGTTGGCTTTAGTGAAATATGTGCTGAAATTACTGTATATATATACGATTATACTACTATATATATATTATATATATATATATATATATATATATATATATATATACAGTATATATATACAGTATATATATACAGTATATATATACAGTATATATATATATACATATATATATAAATATATATATATATATATATATATATATATATATGTATATATATATATATATATATATATATATATATATATATATATACAGTATATATATACAGTATATATATATATATATATATATATATACAAAAATACAATAAGAATGACAAAAATAAGATTAAAAATGGTGTACAAAAGTATTAACGCACTTACAATCTTTAAAAAAATTCTTAGAAAATTTAATATTTTATATGGCTACCTATGTTTTTTTGCCAAGATTTAATGAAATATATAAGTTTTTTTGATTTGATTTTTGATTCAAAAGTATTAGCGCACTTACAATCTTTCAAAAATTCTACGAAAACTTAAAATAAGTTTTCGTAGAATTTTTGAAAGCCCAATTTTTGATTAGATCTTGTAACATGGCTTTCCACAACACTTACATTTGAGTCTTTAGCTGCACCAAGTTAGAGGGCTTGCTTTTTTGCAATTTGCAGTCCAAATATAACTATATAACTCAAAAGATTCTCAATAGAATTCGAATCAGGTGAGTGAGCTGGCCATGACATCAGATTCAATGGTTTTAATTCCATGTATTGCTTGTATGAGCGTGCAGTTTGGCACCAAGCGTCCATAGAAGGCTGTAAATAACCTTCTAATATCTCTCTAAACCAATGTTGATTGTGATGATCAGTGTAAAGATGCGCTAGGCCAGTGCTAGATTCAATGATACAGCCTCAACACCAGTTGAGCCTCCTCCTTAAAGTCTTGACATGATAAAAAGAAGATTGTATTTATGTATCTCATTAAAATCTATTTCTTATTTAAAGTTCAAATAAGTTCATAGTTTAACTCGTCTGAGAAAAACCATTCAACATCAGCTGGCTGATGTGGAGTGGTTAACTTGGTGTGCATCAATTGTTGTATTCAGGTTGAGGCAATTTTGGCAATGCTCATGTTTGTGTTGTATCTAGTGAGTAGTCTTATGTCCTTTTTTGAAATTTTTTATATGACGACCAGAGAGACTTTTGTCTTCAACTGTGCTAAACCTATTATAGTTTTTAAGTATTATTCAATGTATGCCAACAACTTGTCCTATTTTTCAATTGATATGCTTTTTAAAGCCCAATTTTTGTGGCAATTTTGAAATTTTAACTAAATGTATTTTAAATGACATTTTTGTTTCTTAAATTATTACTTACATTTTTTAATGACTGTTATTACTTTTAGTAACCAGGTTTAAAGCATATCTGACTAATAGAATTCAAAGAGTTGTCCTTGGTACTTATAAATCAGAATGGAAGGAGGTTAAAAGTGGAGTTCCACAGGGCTCAATAATAAGTCTGCTATTATTTGTTATTTATATTGATGATATATCACAAGAAATAAAAAATTGCAATAAGTTTTATGCCAGCAATACAAAAATTATTTTGGTGATTACAATTATCAACGATAACTATGCAATGAAAGAGGATTTATTTAACTGTAGAAAATGAAATAAAAAATGGCTATTACACTTTAACAATAAAAAATGCAAAATTATGCATATAGGGAAAAAAAAATCAACAAGTCAACCAACAAGCAATTAAAATCATTACACTATGATAAAAACTTCGTTAAAACAAGATTTAGGGGTCCTAGTATCTAATGATATAAAATGGAAAAATCATATAGATATGATTGCAGGAAAAGCAAAATGAATACTTGGTCAAACAAAACATATACTTAGATAAAGACCTAATGAAACTGCTGTATTGTTTGTCAGTTTGACCCCACTCGAAATTTGCTTCACCGATTTCGAATCCTTATTATAAAAAAAGACATCAATAAAATAGAACAAGTACAACAAAAAGCAACAAGAGTAAGATGTTCAAAAGGTATGAAATATGTGGAGTGATTAAAAGAATTTGGATTGACGTCATTCGAAAAACAAAGAGAACGGAGCGATATATTTAAATATTATAAAATTAAAAATAATATTCATAAAGTAAATTGGAGATACCCTCCAATAAACAACTTATATCCAAAATTAAGAGGTCATAATCAATGTTTGCACAAACAAAATGTTCATATTTCAGAAGCAAGAACGCATTACTTTACTAATAAGGTTGTTAACAAATGGAACAGTCTAACCTATGATGTTTTTAACTCTGTTAACTTAAATACTTTTAAAAATAAACTTGAGGAACATGAGAAGGGCCATTCTAAATAAAAATTAGATTGTTATTATTTTGCTATATCACAAATTTCATTAGTATTTTTCATTTTACTGTTAAAGTCACGCAACTACAGTTGAGTGACTCACATATTTTCATATGTGAGTCATAAATTATTAAAAGTTAACTATACTAAAAAAGTTGCGCTGATACTTTCTGGAATCAAATATATTTATTTTTATATTTATATAAATATATTTCTTTTATTTAGAAGCTGAAAATCATAATGAAAACTATGTTGTAAGTAACTGTATTTCACATATTTCCTATTGTACATTTAAGTCATCGCTGTAAAGATGTATTTGTACATTACTATCAGAATTTATCCACTTCATCAACAATTTATTAAATGTAATGTTTGTTTTTCTCTTTCTGCATGTTTGAAGAGTTAAGTTTGTTGCTTATATCTTGTTTTAATGTATATATTTTGATTTATATCTAACAGCTTATGTCATTTTTTATTGATTTGTTTTAATTGTAAATAGAATTCCCAACTAAATCAAACAGTTTTGATGGAGGAAGACATGGAGGCATCAATTGATCCTGAAAAGTGGATGCATTCTTTTGATGAGAACACAAATAGTGTAGTAACTAGTTTCTATCCAACTAGTTCACAACGAGATGTAGATTCTCATGATAGTACCCAATTTTTAAACGATACAATTATCACTGACGATTCTGTTACAAGTGAATATTCTGTTCCCTTAACGTTTTCTGATAAAAAAAGTAAATTTTCAGCAGAAACACTTCTTTCTGCTTTGGACACAACAATAGCCCAAACTGATGATAAACATGAAGACAGTTCATTGTTCCCCAGTCTTTCAGCTATGAAAATATTATCAGTCTTAAATGAGGTTTCTGATGAGAATGATAATTTCTTCTGTAAAAAATCTACAACATTTGCAGATCTTTGTAAAGAAAATCTTTTAAAAGTATCTCCTTTTAAAACCAATGCAAAAAACTTGCCTTTTTCAACAAGTGTTAGGGAAAACCAAAGTATTCAAAGTGATAATGACAGTAAGTTAGTTGATGAGTCTTGTTTAGAAAATCAATTTTTCATTAATACTGAAAGTCCATTAAAGGAAATAGTCAGTCAAAAAACATCAGACTCTCGCAAGAATCTGCATAATAACTTTACTTACAAACAATTAAAAAATAGCAAAAAAAGAGAGAATACTGACATTAACTTGGATAATTCTTCTTTTATAAAGACGTTTCACTCTTTAACAACTTCTGAGAAATTGTCAGTATCAACTAATAGAAAAGACAATAAAGATACAGTGTTAGATAACTTGTCAGTTGTTGTGCACAAGTTGAATATTTCACCTACCCCAAAGCACACAATCAAATGTAATAAAATAGATTTAAGTGAGTCTTATCTTGAAGAAGCTACTTTACCTATTTGGAAGAACATGGAATGTAATGATAAAATAGATAAAGGTGATACCACTCATAAAATTATTATTTCACCTCTTTTAAAAAACACAGAACATAATGATAAACAGAAAATGGGTGAAACCACTCCCAAGATTTACTTTTCACCCCCTTTAAAAAACACAGAACATAATGATAAACAGAAAATGGGTGAAACCACTCCCAAGATTTACTTTTCACCCCCTTTAAAAAACACAGAACATAATGATAAACAGAATATTGGTGACACCACTCTCAAGGTTGTCATTTCACCACGTTTAAAAAACACAGAACGTAATGATAAAGAGAATATTGGTAAAACTGCTTCCAAGATTTTCTTTTCACCACCTTTAAAAAATACAGAAAATAATGATAAAGAGAATATCAGTGGAACTACTCTTAAGGTTGTCATTTCATCATCTTTAAAAAACCCAGAATATAATGATAAAAAAAATATTGATGAAACCTATTCTAAGATTATAACTTCACCAATCTTGAACAGCACAGAATATAATGATAAAATAAATGTAACCACTCATAAAAGTATTGTTTCACCATACCTAAACACATCCATAAACACAGGAGATGATGATATGATTAATGTGGCTAAAAAAACACCTGAGAGGGTTATTTCTACTGTTTTTAACCACCATGATAAATCAAATGTAGATGTGGTCACTTCTGAAAAGGTTATTTCTCCATACCTAGCAAGTTTAAAATACAATCAAAAAATAAATCAAGATGCAACAACTGAAGGATTTAACAATAAAAGTTTAATTCAAACAGCAAACCCTAAAATATTGAGTGTTAATCAAACTTTTGACTTAAATATGTTCACTGTAAATGAAATCGACACTAAAAAATTACCATTATTTAGAAATATCCCATCCATTGAAAGTGGTTCAAGTGAGAAAGTTACAGAAAGAACTGTTGATAATAAAAATTCTTCCAAAGATATAGACAATTTGCTTGTTGTAAGTGAAAATAAAGTTCAAGCTGTTAGTTTAAACAAAACCTATTGCAAGTCAAAACATGAAAAGAGTTTAGAGAAGAATAGGAAAAAAGATAGAAGACGTACTTACACAATAACAAAAGAAAATGAAAATTTCGGGGAAACTATTCTCCAAGAAAATTATTCGACAAATTGGTTAGAAGATAATACTTCTACTTTTCCAAAAAACAAACCATTAGCAAACAGTTCCTTAATTTCACCTATTAAAAACGTAATACTACCAACAGAAAAGAATAAGCCATTAGCAAACAGTTCATTAATTTCACCTATTGAAAACTTGGTACTACCAACAGAAAATAAAGACAATGAAAAACTTATAAAAAGTTTTACTAGTCCAGTAAATACAACATTCAATATAATAACAGACCAAAAGTCAGATATATCTAACAATGACTCTAGTCCTTTTTTTAAAGAAATTTTAAAAACTCCACCTAAACTTGGTTCAAATTTGTTTCCAGGTACTCCAACCCAAAATTACATTATTCCATCTCCAGTTCTTAGAGTTAAATCATCCTCCAAAAAAAGAAGATTCAAGTCTTTATCTGGCAGTTCAACCAAAAATCAAAGAAGTTCATTAACAGCATCTCACTCAAAATCACCAATCCCTAAAAAGAAAAAAAATATTTTAAACATATCAGGAGATTATTCAAACGAAGAAGGTACTAGTATTATGATGAGCCATCAGCCCATATCCTTAAATCACCAGTCCAATCCAAATATAAATGAAGTATTAGATACGGAAGAGTCATTAGGAGGAGCTAAATCATACGTCTCTCAAGCATCTGGTATACAAAAAAACATTTCAAAAACAATTGATGCTGTTAGTCCTCAGTGTTTTAATGAATTAGAGAAAACATTATCAAATGTAGTTCCTTCTCAATATAATTTGGCTAAAAACAATTTTGTTTCAGAGCCATTTGTTGTTGAATCATCTATGAGGCTAAGAAGTTCCTCTAAAATGTCTCACAATGATAGTCAGTATTTTAAAGAATCAGCCAAGACAATATCTAACTTTAACTCAAGTCTCCTTCAAAACAATAAAAAAAATAATAACTCCGTAACTGGAGCATTTACAATCAAATCTAAGAAACAAACGAATACTTCAAGAATATTTGATTCAGATGATCCTCAGTTTCTTAGCATGTCAAAACAAGAATCTCCACAAGAATTATCCAAAGCAACACAAGAATCTCCACAAGAAGTATCCAAAGCACCACAAGAATCTCTACAAGAATTATCCAAAGCACCAGTTAATATAAACTCAAGTTTTCTTTTATGCACTCCTACTGAAAATCACACTGCTTCGATGGTTAAATCTTTATCAACTTCGTCTAAGAAAAAGAAGAAATCAAAAAAAAAAAAGTTAACCATCTCTAACCCTCCTAAGCAATCTTCTTCTTCTAATCATCTGAGGCAAAGTTGTGAACAAACTTCAGTTGTTCGTTTTCAGACTCAATTTAATGAAAGCAAAAGTTTACATGAAAATGATTTTACAATAAAATCAAAATACAGGCCTGATACGCCAAGAAGGATATCAAAACGCATTGCAAATAGATCACTTCCTTCAGTGGAAAAGGTTTCTTTTTCAGAAAAATCAGATTTGTCTGAACACATTGAAAGAGAAAAACTAGAAAAGGCAATAAACAATAAACTGTTTGTACACAGTAAAACAAAAAAAATAGAAAAAACAATAAACAAAACAAAAGAAGAAATAAATAAAACTGATTGCTTTATTAATGAAAAAAAATGCTCATCTCCTCAAGTTAAAAATTTATTTAATGTTGAAAATATTTCCGAAACTGAAAATCAAAAAGTAAAACCTGGTTTAATTGACAATTCAAATAATTTATTTAAAAAAAGTGAAAAAAGTTTGGTTGCAGATTCCTGTGATATTTTTAAAACTAAAGATAAAATCTCCAGATCTCCAAAAACCAATTTTTTACAGGAAAAAAAAGAAAGTTTGTTACAAGTTAATGACGGTAATCACATAATTATATTTAAAAAATTTAAGTATGAATGAAATTTATGTAATATTTTTAGTAATTTATTTTTTATTATTATTTAGTCACTGGTTCATCAAGGTATCAACTTTATTAGTTTTGTTAATCTTTATTATAAGTATGTAAGGTGATAGTAGTAGCAAGTCAAAAAGTTTAATATAAATTTTTCCATATTGTTTTTTAAATTTTATTTTACATGATTTACAGTTCTTTATGCAGTATGTCTGATATGTCAGAATGTCAACAAAACGAATCAATTTCTAATGAGGTACATCAGTTTTTAAATTTTTATGTACATATTAAAAGATTGTTAGCAAAGTAAACTATATATATATATATATATATATATATATATATATATATATATATATATATATATATATATATATATATATTTGTATATAGGTTGAAGCTATGGTGCACTTATGCAAGTGGTATTTTTTT